AATGATTTTCAATGCGATTACGAAGCATATAATTTATATGCTTTACTTTGCGTTTATTATATGTTAAAACCACTAATTGTATCGCAGACTACCGGACCCAACAATCCCGCGCCTGGACTTTGTGGGCAACATATTGATCGACTGTGTAATCATAGGAGTGGTCACGTTTGCCGTATCGCTGTCTTTGGCCAAAATATATGCTAAAAAACACAAATACGATATTGACCCAAACCAAGAGCTCATAGCTCTGGGCTCTGCTAATGTGTTTTCCTCCTTCTTCTTGGCATATCCGGCGTCGGCCGCCCTCTCCCGCAGTACTATACAAGAAAAGATCGGCGGAAAAACACAAATCGCTGGCATTTTCTCATGTCTTGTCATTCTCTGTGTCCTCTTATTATTGGCTCCATTTCTCTATCATTTGCCAAAAGTAATCGCCATTTAAATCCTTTTTATTTAAATTAATTGCAAATATACTAATTATTATTTTATTGATGACATTTGTAGTGCACTCTCGCCTGTATTATATTAGTTGCATTGAAAACAATGTTTATGCAAATCGGAGACTTCAAGAGGATTTGGTTTGTTTCTAAATTGGATGCGGTCAGTTATTTCCACTATTTTATTGTTTTACATTTCATTTAAATATAAACCGTTTTATTAATTATTATCCATAGACTGCATGGATGGTAACATTCCTGTCAGTCATATTCTTAGACGTGGACTTAGGACTCATTGTTGGCATTTGTATATCGATTCTTGTGATTCTCGTTAGACTCGTAAAGTAAGTCATTTCTCATTTTACACAATCATTATATCGTGTTATGAAATCATTATTTACTTATACATTGTATATATTGAAATTCAGGCCCACGTATTCCCTGTTGGGTTGTCTGCCCTCAACTGAAATCTATGTCGACATTAAGAAGTATTCAAAAGCCAAAGAGGTTTATGGCATTAAGATATTTCGCTTTTGTTCTCCAATTTTTTATTTAAGTACCGATAACTTCAAGACAAGAATTTTGGATATAGCCAACACTTTAATCAATAGGTAATCATTTACTCCTTAGTTTTTTGTCATTACAAATGTATGATAAAATTGATGATATAATGTGTGTATAAATAACTTAAATAGCGATCATTCAAGTGAAAAGTCACCGCAAATAACACCGGAAGCGCTAATAATAGATATGTCTTGCGTGCCTTTTATGGACAGATCGGGTGTCGACACAATCGCCGATGTCTTCAAACTATTAAAAGAGCAAAATATCAATGTATGCGTGGCTTCGTGTCCAATACATTTGATCCAACTTTTTGAAACCACCAAATTCTTCAATACTGTTAACAAAAGCTGTTTCTATCCCTCAATTCACGACGCGGTCGTCAGTTTGAGATGATTTAGCATTTACTCAAACACTCATATTTTCATTCAACATTCAGTGCCATTAAATAACACTATTTATGTAAAACAATAACTCTAAAACACATTGAATATTTTGAACATGTAAATTAATTTATTGATTTTTAATTGTGATGATATCATATAAACTTATGTGATGATCGATTCAACCATTTGATAATTACATTTTATGTCTGATTCAATTAATGTTAATTTACTATTTACGATCACAATATACCGGTTATACAGCTTTAAATACTGTATTTGAAACTAAAGTCATTTTTTCTTCAAAATTAAAAAATATTTACATAACTATTAAAATTAAAGTATATTGATGTATTGTATATTCACAATGATATTAATTTAAATCAACAATTGAATGCATTGTATATTTACACTTAATAAATTAATTGAAAACTATAGTTTTATTGTTTCATATTTTTAGTAACAAATCCTAAATTTGGTGAAAACCAAAAATATGTATTTTTCAATGTTATGACAATTGTTTTGCTCATAAATCAGACCCAAAAACGAGACTTTTCTAAATATGAGAAGTTTTAACTCATTTTGATGACAGTTTTGGACTAAATTCTTACTTTTCCATCACTTATGAATGGATTACAATATTTTGTGAGAATATATGTTACACATGACATACGAGTCATTGAGAATTTCAATGCCGTCTAAATATAAACATATTCCTAACGAATACGACTAAACGCCTGCAAACAGAGCATCGTTTAGACAAACATTTAAATCACATAAAAGTTTCTTTATATGAAAGTGTAAATGAAGACAATCTCACTCTTTTCACAAATGGCTTATTGTTTTCAAATTCAATGTTTTGAATAAATTATTTAAATATTCTGTTGACATTAAACTAGTTTGAAATGTTTTTATAGCCTATATTGCGATTACAAATTGAAATCAAAACTGAACTCAATTTCACAGATAAATCGCTTTCAAAGTCGGACTTATTCTCGTTAACCAAAACAAAATTCCTTTACATTTCTAATGTAAACCTTTTTCCAATTTTTTGTTCGTTTATTTTGTAGACATAAATCCATTAATTATTTTTAATAGATAAACATTTCTTAATGAAATAATTATCTTTAATATCAATAAATAAATAAAATTTTCGATTTAAAACACAGATAAATATATAATTTAAAATAATTGATTGTTTATAGAAAACATGTGGCATTACTAATGAGTTAACAAGAATACAATAACAGAATATTCTTTAAATACTGA